AAATAAGTGATCCACTACTGGAAGCAAAAAAAAAAAAAAAAAAAAAAAAGTGTGGGGGGGTGACGACTGACTTCCAGAATAACATGAAGATGAAACTGCCAAAATAGAAAACATGCCTGTTTGCAACTCCTGCTAAAGAAAGAAGCCCACTCACAATAAGGATAATCCAGTAATTTGCCTTCTGCAGGGAAAGGACTCTCACAACACATACAAGGTGTTTGAAATGTGAAATTTCCATGCAAAAACAGTGACAATATTCAAATGCTGTGCAAGTTTACTACAAAATAAATAAAATGTTCAACAAACAGTTATTAAACAGTGTATTCAAAATGAATATTTTTTTCCCATAGCGTTGCTTAGAATCTCATGCCACAGCCAACTCAATCACCTTAACCAGCACACCAAGAATATTCATAGTAGGCCCCTCACCACCTCATGCAAGGGTGAGACCCTTGGATGAATGGTGGATGAACGTTCATCCCAATCTTATTTTCCCAAGCAGTACTAAACTGGTGCTCTAGTGCAGTTACACAGAACCCAATTGTACTGGCCAATGGAATACCTCTAACTGATGGCTGTCACTACGTAAGGATGTGACTTAACATCATGTGCTATATTCTGTGCCATGTCAAAAAGAACAACAGTAATTTCAGAAGTAAAATTCTATTACTACATATGCTCCAATTCAAAGTATTGCACTTGACTCATGATTTGGAAAACAAGGCTGTATATCAATATATGATGAATTACCAACTTAAAATCAGTTCTTGTAGGCTAGCAGAAATCACAGAATCATAGAATTGTCTAGGTTAGAAGAGACCTCAAGATCATCAAGTCCAACCTCTGACCTTACACTAACTAAACCGTATCCCTAAGCTCTACATCTAAATGTCTTTTAAAGACCTCCAGGGATGATGACTCCACCACTTCCCTGGGCAGCCTATTCCAATGCCTCACAACCCTCTCAGTAAAGAAGTTCTTCCTAATATCCAACCTAAATGTCCCCTAGCACAACTTCAGCCCATTCCCCCTCATCCTGTCACCAGGCATGTGGGAGAATAGACCAACTCCCACCTCACTACAGCCTCCTTGAAATGTACCTATAAAAAGCGATAAGGTCACCCCTGAGGCTCCTTTTCATCTTTATCATCTTTTTTAAGAAGAAAAAAAAAAAAAATTAAGAAATAAAATTATTGCATATTTCTACAAACACCTACTACTCAAAGTATCTGTTCTGGTAGTTGGATGAGTTCTGTCCTGCAGTTAACCAATACCATCAATCAAGCTGACAAATTCTGAAATAAGAGAAATAAAGGCAAAAGCAGCCACTTCACAGAGAGAGCTAAGACTTAAAAAGTGCAGCAAATCATAAACTATCTTACTACTATACGTATGTAAACTTACTCCACTCTTGTAATCATTTCCAACATCCTTTCAGAACATCCTTCAACTCTTACTAAGCATCATCTGCTCCACCTGGATAATTCAAATGACTTTTTTGAGCAGGTGCTTCTCATTTTCTGCTACCTGATAGAAAAACTCCTGAGTTTAAGTTATTTTAAAATACAAATGTCCAAATGCAACACACCACTATGTGGATACGATAATTAGGTTTGCAGAATTAGATAAAGATGACATCACAAGTCATCTCTTCTTCCTTCTTCAGTTCCTAACTCTGCTTCTTACCAAGTCCCAAATCTGACAAGATGGTGGTCATTCATCTAGAAAGCAAATTGTGAGCAAATCGGGCTAGATTTAGAAAGAGGAGAAAAGACAAGAGAAAACAAGATGAGCAAAGATAGGTGTAATTATGACAACCTGTAGCCAGCACAAAAAGACATTTGGGTTTAGTTCAGCACCGACTGGTTATCTTTGTACTCTTCAGTGCTTAGCAAATTGTGAGAGAACATCTGCTGGTACCAATCTCACCCGGCTGATGAAACAGCTGAAGGGGTTAATAGCTTCTGACCTCAGCTGAGGGGCTGGTCATGATAGCATAAGACTCACTATGTCTGGTCATCATTTAAATAAAAATAAGCAGAGACTTCTGAGACAAAATCTGACATGTAAATAAAAGAAACAAAAAGCTAATTACAAAAAAAAAAAAAAATGTGTAGGCATTTTGTTTTATCAAACAACAAAAACATGCAAGGATTTAGTTTTAACTTCTGGAGTTTTACAAATGCCATGCTCCAGACTGAATCCATCTCTAATAACTCTCAGTACAACAGCTGTACAGTTGAACACCATTTCTAACAACACCAGCATGGCATTCACTTTTATGCAAGTATCTGAAGTAGATAAGAAGTTACTTAATGTCCCTTATTATTTTCTAATAAAATGTGAAAAGTTAAGAATACTGAAAGTTACTGAAAAGTAGAGCTGTACCAGCAGTTTCCAGTGATGTCCTTAACATGATTTTTCCTCCAAGTGACATCCAAGTAGTTACAGAATTTATATATTCCAGCCCAGCACTCATTTAAAAACAAACTTTGTGTACCATGTGGTACTCCAGAGACATCTGAAGGATGGAAGAAATGGTTAAGAAAAATCACCACATTGTACTACTTTATCACAGCACTAATTTAGGTTTCCTAATTTAGGCATAAGCAATTGGAGAGAAGGAAAGCACAGCCAGTGTCCTGCCACAGAATGTGAAGAGTCATTTTAGAGACAAAAAAAATAAAAAGGGAGGATCCAAGATCAAACACCAGAAATATGGTGAAGGGTGCAATGAAGTCACGGCATTCCCTGTTTGGAAACTTTCCAGGATTTCCATACTCAATAAATCTGTCTAGAAACATATATTGTGTCTTTATTGTGAGGAAGCAATTTAAACTTGTGTTTCAAGAGTCATACTGAAACACACACACAAATTTCACCCACCACCACAGCCAATAGCAGAGATCTCCAAACAGAGATATTAAAAAAAAACAAAACAAAACAAAAAAAAAAAAACACCTCTGTATTAAACGTGTGCTACTCCTAGAGTCTTATCTGTGTCCTCCTCAGTAGTACTTAACCAAGCCCCTTATCTGTGGTGAGTTCCCCTGCTTGATGCTAAAAAAAAATACAGTAAATCATCACCATGTGGATTTGTTCTCCCCCTCTACTAGATTTACTGGGCAGCAGCCATCAAACAAACAGCCCCAGCCATCCTAAAACAGTACTCCCTCACTATCAACACAAGGTCTCTCTAAATACCCCAACGAGGTGCTTCAATTACTGAATGATTTTTTTCTCTCCCCTTTTTTTTTTTTATGAGAGACTTTTCACAGCAGAATAAAGAATGAACATTTTGAGTTTATTTTAAAGAAGAGTACATTCAAGCAATAAAAGAAGAAATAATGATCACACAAGATGTTCTGTATGCTTAATACAACTACTTTCAAAAATAAATAAATAAACTGACTTTTGCTTTTAGTAAAAAGAGACAGGTTATTAAAGTCAATGAAACAGTCACCCTCAAATGCCAATATAGTGCAAAGGACCACCTTACCATACCAGGATGGACCAAGACCTATGTCCCACATAGTTTATACAAACTAACACAGTATAACTAAACTATGTTAGTTTGTATAAACTAACTAGTACCATTCAGGCTGAGTTATGACATACCTACACAGACCTGAACAGTCTATGTGTGTGTTTGCAAACAGAGGCAATTGCATCAAAGGCCACCAAAGGCCGTCTAAGATATTAGGTGGTTTGCCATGACTACGAACATAAAACATGGCAAAAGACTTTTTTCTGAGCTTTTTTGACTTAGAAGCTCTGAAGAAAAACATTTGAGCCCAATCCCGCTTCAGTGTGTTTGGCTTTAGATATTTTCCTCTTACCTACATGTCCTTTTCCATCCCGCCGTTTGAACAGCAACGTTATCACAAAGCACAGATGCAGCTGAGTACCACAGAGACAGGCATTTCTGATGAAAATGGAAATAGTACCAGAAAACGGCACATAAGGGAGACGGTAGGAGCATGGAGACAGAACTTTCTTGCCTGTGCTCCCTGCCTACTTTGCTGGCCCATCACAACACACTCTGTCCCATTTGCTGCTTCCCTTCTGTCCCCTCAGGACTTCGTAGTATTTCTGCATGGCAAAGAAAAGTACTGTGCATAAAAATGGCTTGCTGGATTACCAAAACAGAGAAGAGATGCATAAATAGAGGGAGACATAGAAGGAAGAGCTCAATGACTTGAAAGAAATACCACCACACAAAAACTGAAGCAAGCCATTTTAAAGAAACCAGCCCTGTACGTGTGTGTCAGATTTACAAGACTGCAGGCTCCTTGGAGCGGGGACCACGCAAGACAAGGTGCTTATTCAGTGCTCATGTACAAGCTTGCCATCAGCTGAGGCTGTCTTTGGACACGACCTCACTCTAAAAACATCCCCCTTCATCACAGTTGTCCTTGAAAACTGCCTCCTGGATAGTTGATCCTTATTATGGATTTCACAGTAGCTATCGAGTATATTTGTGTCTTTTTTTTTTTCTTTTTTTCTTTTTTTTTTTAAAAAAAAAGAGAGAGAGAAAGAGAGATACCTGGGGAGTAGCAGGGGGAGAGAAGTAAAAAAGCACGTCTGAACAGATGATCTCTACCGTCCCCCCCTCCTGCTGCTAGAAGCTTCCCACTCAGCTTCTGCTCCTATTTGTTCATCTTTTTTTCTGGCAAGAACTGCTCTTAACTGTGTTAATTTTCCTTTTTGTGGGTTAATGTTGGGTAACGTGCTTGCAATTGCCCACAACTAATAGATTTCCAGTGACTGACTTTACTGCACTCATGGCAGTAAGTAGGGCACATTTCTTGAACCGGGGTCATTTTAAGGGATTCCAGAAAGTACCTTCAGACATTTCGTGGCTTCATTTAAAGAACTACTTTCCTGGTTCCATGCAGGATTTTGAGCAGGAGGACAGTATCTTCAAAGGGAGGTCACTATCCCCCTGAATATTAAGTGAGAACCATTTCAAGAGTTTGTACAAAGCATGAAGCATGACCTTTTTTCATTTATTTATTTAAGGCTAAACTTGGCAGATATGAAAATATCCAACTGTAGTTAGACAGCCATGATCTCAGCCTCTGGCTGTGCAAAGACATCTTAAATCTGTAGGTTCTGTGCAGATCCAGGGGATTTTGCCAAAATCTTTCCTGAAAAAAAAAAAATATTAAATATTCCTTCATGTTGAGCTTTACAATTTTTATTCCTCTCTCCTTCATAGTCTATTATAATCCCAAATTAAAAATACATAATGCTTTAGGATTAGCGGTGCTTATTCTGCAGATTCCCAGCCAAAAATGACTGCTATCATTCTTTAATGATTAAAAAAGGCTAAAAGTGTTGCACATCTGCCTTTAAAAAAACAGCCAGACATAGCCAGTTCCTAATTAATCTCTGTTTACCTGGAAGTGATACAAGGAGAAGGTGGGAACACTTTGTCCGACCACAAAATCTCCAGAATGCTGACACCCGAGGCTGGGTTGTTGATACAGAATAAATGCAACCTGCCAAGATCATCCTATAAGAAGCTGCATACCCGAAGCCATCCACATCATTTGATGCCAAGGCCTAGATAGAGAATCGTATAGATGCTTTGGCCTTTCAAAACCTGATAAAAGCATTCCAGACAATACATCTGTATATGTATAACTGCATCATCTCTTCCCCTCCTTGGATTTAGCAGCTTCACATCCTCATAAAAACCCTGCCAAATCTTCATGTGCAGTATTAGTTGCACTGTAATTGAGGTTTCTTCATAAATACTGGCTACCACTGGACAAGACCATGATTTCGTATTTTACAGGGCAGAGAGAAGATGACTACCTGTAGTTTTCCATCTACCTATGCAGACAAACAGCAGCGGGTTTCTTCCCTGAGATGTGGCAGAGGCAGGCGTGTGGCTAGGTCATTTGTCCTCCTGTGAGTTTTACATCTGCACACTGCCACTGTTGCTGTGCCAGCTGTAGGTTTCCCATCTAGTCAAATCCTGCATCTCACGTGCATCTTCAACTCTGCCTAAATCTCAGCATGCAGTTCTTAGATACTGCACTGAAATCCCAAGCACTTTCAGACTTCCTCATGCTAATTCAAGCATATACAGTTTGGAGGAAAAAAAAAAAAAAAAAAAAAAGTAGCATAGCATGCACTAAGAGGCCATGCAAGCCAAAGAACTAGTGGTACAACAATGCTGAATGTCTAAATAGGACCTTCTGAAGACAAGGTATCTGTATGTTAGAAATCAGCCTATTTCACGTACCATCACCAAAACCCAAGGTAATTTCCATTATTGGCCTTAAAACCCTGTTTGAGCCACAGCACTGTCATCTGGATTCAGAAGTCTCATTGCAAGAAAGTGTTGCAGTTCTTCACATACCATAAACAAATCAAAACAAAGCAACAATAAAAAATCCACCAACATCCCCAAAATACTAATGGCAAGGACCTTGATTTATCCAATGCAAAGTTTGCCCTGTATAATTTTTTTTTTTGCATTTTCAAGAAGTTACTGAACTTCACAAGAAGCCAAGCATACCTTAAAATGAGGGAGAGTGGCAGAGCAGTGAGAACTGACCACAGCTCCATCCACACAGCTGAGGACACTTTGTGTTCTATGGGCAGGCTCACCTGTTAGTTGCCACTTCCCAGATAAACTGTGATGAGCCCTTTTTTGATTTGGCCTTGGAAGAGACTGGGAGTACTCACGCATCCTTACATAAAATATTGTCTGAAGATAAAAAATAAAAGCAGAAAAGCAGGAGAAATGCCACTTACTCAACTGCCTGTTAACAGCCTCTAAGTGTGAGTGCTCCCAGTCTCCTTCCTGGCAATGTCACGCAGAGCTAAAACCACCTGTAGGTTATTAAATTTTCTTCCCCAAAACAGCTGGAGTACTTGCATGGGCAGTTAAAATGGAGACCTACCATCTACTCTTACTCATTTGCAAACCGTAGTTACTAAGCATAACATTAGAAAGATATTAACAATATATAGAGTGGATCTGCAAAGCCTGAACAATAACTATAGGCAGCATAAGCCCATCTTGGCTGTAATCAGGCTAAAGGAAATACAACAGAAAGACACTGCAGGTGAAAAAGGATTAAAAAGCAAAATGTAAGTCAGGACTTCACATGGGAATGGTCAAGGAAGCTGACCTGATCACAAACAGAACTCTCAATTTGCTTACCTTACATAGATACTCCTAATACTTGGTTATGCTAACATAAAAGCTACATACAGATTTAGTAATTTTTGTAAAAATGATTATAAAAAGGTCTATTCTTGAAGAGAGCATACTTCTGACATTTAGTCCATTCTCATGCAGAGGCTGCCATCTCCATAGGCACTGACATCTTAGCTTTGTGGGTTTTTCAGCTTTAATCTCTAAGTTAAGTAAGTTTTCCCTTGAAGACTCACAATTTTTAATGATTTCCCAGTATAATCTGAGGGTTATCTCTGTTTTCTCTCTCATTTATTTATCATTATTATCATTTCATATTGCTGTCATGTATGACTCCTCCACCTCTGATCTTCATGGCACTGTTTTTATTTTTTAATTCTCCTCTTATGTTGGGGCCCAACACTACCCAGAAAACAACGTAAGAATCAATCTATTACTAATGGACTCTCAGCTGACTTGACTAAAACACAGTGTGGAAGGCTTGACACACGAAATACAGTTGCTTACTCCACATGTTAGCAGACATACTAGGAATGAGCTTAGGAAGACAAGCTCAATTGCCTAATGTGTGGGCACACCTTAAATGTCAACATTATTAGCCATCACACTGCGACTGACGCGATGAACACACAAACCTAATGTATTCAAGCCCATCGAACCCAGACAGTGTCCCTCCTCTCCTCCTCCAGCATAAGCCACAACTGTTGCTCAATGAGTTGCCAAGGTTTCTGCATTATCACAAGTAACCCAAAAACATGATTGTGCCCAAATACTACAGAAAATTTAAGGCCATGGAGAGAATACACAAAGCAGCTTTATTAATAAACTAGTGCTTTATTAGCGATCATTACAGCCTCTGTTTTTGCATGTTATTAACACAATGCCTTTTAAAAAATAAATCGTCAATTTCATGTCACTGGGTGTGCGCAGCTCTCCTCCTTTCCTATAGAAAAGCACCTGCCTGTGATATGTTCAAAGACCATGGCAAGCTGGTGATGAAGCCATAAAATGCAGCCCTCTGACAATACTGTGCTGTCAGGTGAAGGCGGACACGGATCCTCTCGTACATTACTAGTAAGGGTAGTAGACGCACATTCCTTCGCTGACCAGGAATAGGGAAGCTGCTTCATTTATTCTTTTTTTTTTTTTTTTTTAATAACAGAAGAATAACTAAGGACAAGAAACAAAAAATACAACATAAGGTCAGGGAAATGCAGGCAAACTCATACAGATCTTCACTCTACCAAAAATCAAATAAAAACTGCTAACATTTTACTTTGCTTCGTCTGAAAGATTAGCCACATGTTTTCAATTTCATTTCATTTTGATCCTCCCACCTTTATGGCTGTCCTTTAGCTTTAGAAGGTATTCTAAGTCAAGAGCCTTCCCTCTGTGTCAGCGAGGGTCTCTCTTGCCCAGGCAACACCACTACAAGTCGAGGGAGCACCTGAGGCCGCTCAGGCTCCCTGCACAGTCCGTGGGATGTCTCCCTGGGAGATCTTTTCCACAGTTGCTCCCTCTCCATTGACTAGGGCAGACAAACAGCAAGAAGCAGGCGTGGACTCAGCCAACTCTACAACCTGACTGCATCCAACAGCAGCTGCTGCCTTGAGTCACTGCTCACTGGTAGACTGGAGCATCGCTGTCTCAGGGCTGCGGCCAGGACAGGAGGAACAGATTAATGAACATCTTGTGCTCGCAGCCAGATGGAAACAGGGCTACAGCATCATCATGGCAAGAATTATCCTACAGCTTCATGGAGCCATAACTGGAGTCCCATCACAAAGACCCAGGAGATGGTTTTCCAGGGAAATGGTTATTTAATCAAAGTCCCACTCTCAAAAGTCACTCATACACTCGGAAGACCTCTCCGCTATTTTTCACTGGAACTTCAATTTCTGACACTCCAGGCATTTTTATAGCATTACCATACATGCTACATGAGCAACATAGCTGAAATATCCAAATGCCCACAAATAATTAAAAAGTCATCCCTATTTTTAAAATGTTCGGATAAATTTATTTCTAGGGCAAGTCCGTAATTCATCCAAAGTCACGCTTTCCAACCAAAGCGACTATGTCAAGTACTTAAAATATCAGCACTGTCCCTGTGGCTCTGCCTCATGACGTTGGTCAGGATAGCTTTTTTTCCCCTAGAATATAGATACTGACCTCACTTCTTGCTAGCAGCAGCTCCAGACCGAGCTGTGCTATGCAGTACTGCACATGCCCTGTCCTGCATGGAAACACCAACTCAGCACAATGCTTAAGAGTAAGCCTTTTATTTTACTTCAAACAAGGCTCATAAATTTGCACCTCAGCACACACTAACATACCTTTCTGAAACAAATGGGAACAGAAGAGCTCCTCAACAACCTTTATGAGACAGTGGATGGGAAAGCAAGTCAGCAACAACCTAAGGAAGATACTTTTTTTCCCAGTAGTGCTTACAAAGCTATTTTACAGCATATGTACCTTGTCCATGCTCTGTCTCTTCCCAAGCATTCTGAGTTTTCCTTAGCTTTACATCTTTCCACCATTCTGTTTGCAGCTCCACATACTTTGAAGTGGGTTGGTGAAGCTGTCTTCCCTTTCAGCATGTTGCATTTGATCCTCTGAAACTAAAAGTTAGACCCAATCTTTCCTTCCACAGCATCTGGAAGGCAAATCCCTGACTGTTGCAGGACAAAGTAATGAAAAAATCAAAATGTAACACAAGAAACAATCAGTAACCATTGAGCTAATCATCTTGGAAAGCATGGTCTTTCCCCCCTTTAAAAAAACACCTTACAGAACCGTTGTTACTTTTCTGTGCCCCTACCATCCCCCCTTCCCCGCCCCCCCCCAGTGACAAACTTTGCTGAACAAAGTCAAAACTATCACTTTTTTTTTTTCCTTTGTATTACAATATTGGCACAATAAATAAATAAATAAATCTGCCCAATAGATCCCTTCTCTTACCCATGCCCTCACAAATGCATAAGCCTCTCTTGTTAAACTTCTTAAATCCAAGTAGGCAGATCTTCCAGAGTGGGATACAGATGTACGGTGGGCTTGATTGTTTCATGGATCAGAAGCTAAGTGGAAAGAAAAGAATGACCAGAACACCAAAGATGGAGAGGAGGAAATACAAGAGAAACTGAAGCCTCTAATAGCACTCACAAGGGAAGAACTGCTTTGCTTTTCCACCTGCATCACAGAAATGTGAAGAATGAGAGCACGCAGAGCTCAAATCCCAATTGCCCCATATGGGATAAAACCACAAATGGAGTAAAGACTGAAACTGAACTGATGATGACAGAGTATGAGGTTAGGGGCAGAATTCCAATGTAGAATTTTGGGTTCAACTCTGATTTCCATTACATCGATGCAAGCTTTGAAAAAAAGGTCAGAACTCAATTTTCTATGTCTGATGATCCCAAATTAAGATTTAATAATAATCAATAGTTTCATACCAGACAAATGTGTTCAAGACAAATGTGAATATTAAGCACTCGCACAGATCATCTAGTATTAGTCAAAGACTAGTTCAGTATTAACTGCTCCCTGTAGTAATTACTAGGGAAGTATCCTTTGCGTAGACATGATTCTCCAGAGGGCTACCCTTAATAATAACTGAGACCCTCAAAATCCTGCAAGCACTTCCTTATGCACATGATTAACATCTATGCACGTGGCCAGTCACACTGAATTCAAAGAAATTAATCATGTATTAAAAGTCACTCTTAGGCAGAGGTGTTTCTAGGAGTTCAACTTTGCCTCTGGAAGTGTTTTGCAACAGTTCCCTCTCTAGAAAACAGTTTTGTAAAGTGCAGAAGTCTCTCAACTATCACTCATATTTATGACAATGGAAACCATTCAGCACCCTCAAAAACTGGACCACAGGGGAGGTGGAGGAAAAAATGCATTTATTTATCTTCATGCACAATCCAAAAAAAAAAAGAAAGAACAGCCCAATGAGGATTTAGAGTTTCTTCCTCCCCTGGATCCATCAAATCCATCATAATCAGAAATCTCTGCAAGAAAATGTCCAGAATACTGTATTCTATACCCAGAAACTGCTGGATAATGATGAGCAGCATTACTGAATAATTTAAGCACAATGTCATGTCCTGAGAAGTGTCCATATTTTGTTTGTTTTTAAACCAACACCCTCCATTTTTGCATCTTCCACGCTAGCTTTCAACACATTCGTAGAACACAGGGATTCACAGAAAACAAGATTCTTCCCTTGCCACTATTTTGAGCAAAGGGCTTATCACAGAAGGGAAGCCCTCTGCTTCAAATGCAATTGAAAAATATCTTTGCCATCGGCTGGCGCTGAAGCCAGAAAGAACTGGTCAAAAAGGAAGGAGTCATCTGCTGAAATACCGTTGCCTACATCTATGCTAGATGTTTGGACTACTTTTGTATTCAATTGGCAGAAACAGCACTTCTCAGATGTGATTCTGCTGACTAAACGTAGACTTTCACTTTGGGAAGAGATGAATAGCACCCTGGAAATGTTCTGCTTCCTGACAACAAAGGGAGGCCAGAGAGCTGCATTTCAACAGATGAATATCCCCTTCTCCATGCTGGGTGTCACTAACAAGGTGCCACAAACACCCTGAAGGACCACATCTGGTTTCTCTGGGGAGGC